AGTGAGGTGCACCTAATAAACATATGAAAAAATAATTCACAAAAAAGGACCAAAATACCCCCGATTACGTTTTCGGGGGTATTTTGGTCAATTTTTATTCAAGTAAAATATTTTTTTGATTTTTTTATAGATTCACCTATTTTTTATAAACACACGCTCCAAATGTCAGATCATTCCAATTTGTAGAAAAAAAAATGAAAAACACTATCCGACAATCGTGATTATGCGATGAACTTTGGACGGTGATGAGGGTAGGCGAATCACTATTTATTTTACCTATAGGCGTTTTATAGTGTCATATATATATTTTTTTGATGAACACACACTCCAAATGTCAGATCATTCCGATTTGTAGAAACAAAATGAAAAAATGAAACACGACCGGACAATCGTGATCGTGCGATGAACTTTGGACGGTGATGAGGGTAGGCGAAATCATTGTTCATTTTCACCTATAAGCATTTTATAGTGCCTTATTCACCTATAGGAAAAAATGAACAGTGATTTCGCCTACCCTCATCACCATCCAAAGTTCATCGCACAGTCACGATTGTGCGGTAGTGTCTCATTTTTCATTTTTTTCTACAAATCGAAATGATCTAACATTTGGAGTGTGTGTTCATAAAAAATAGGCAAATCTACAAAAAATATTTTACATGAATATATATATATACATAGGAAGACACTACAAAATGCCTATAGGTGAAAATGAACTGTGATTTCGCCTACTCTCATCACCGTCCAAAGTTCATCGTACGGTCACAATTGTCCGATAGTGCTTTATTTTTCATTTTTTTTATACAAATAAGAATGATCTGACTTTTGAAGCGTTTGTTCGTAAAAAGTAGGTGAATCTACAAAAACTATCAAACAAATATTTTACATGAAATAAATTGACCAAACTATCCCTAAAAAGTTTTATGGGTATTTTGATCATTTTTTCATGAATTATTATTTTTTTATTTTTATTAAGTGCACTTCACTAAAATGTAAACACGCTCCAAATTTCAAGTCATTCTGATTTTTAGAAAAAAAATGAAAAATAAAACACTATCGGACAATCGTGACTGTGCGATGAACCTTGGACGGTGGTGAGAGTAGGTGAAATAACTGTTCATTTTCGCCTATAGGCGTTGGGAAGACTTTTATATATATATATATATATCAAAAGATGGCCTTAACATGGTTTTTGAAGATTGTTACATTATATTAAATAGAACTATTGCATGACATCTCTCTCTCTTGTGAAATCTATGTTAGGCCATTTGTTTGACCTCAATTTTTAAATATATACTTTGTTTATTCAAATAAAAAATTACAAAAAGTCAAAATTTGAAAATATATTCTAATAAATATTTTTTAGCCCAATTAACATAGGTCATCCATTTTGGTAATATGCTTATATCTAAGCCTTAAAAGAAATTTTGCCTTTTCTAATTTTTTTAGATGACTTTGTTATCATTGGATAAAAACTTATTTTGAGTTCCTAAAGATTTAGACTTTATAATTCACCAAATGGATGCTCTAGTCTTATTACTGGAGGGAGCTCATTTTGACCATACCTAGGGTGTTAATTGAATTTTACTATTTAAGGATTGATTATTGGAATGAAGAGAGGGTATGTGCAATTTTGGGGGTCATACAAATACCACAAACATGATTTTCTAAAAATACAGTTTTATTACATTATAATGATATGGTGACATAAAAATAAATAGTATTTTCGCTCATAGGCTCGCCACCATTCGATTTTTTTAGACGGTGGGGTAAAATTGCCTGCCATGAATCTACTATATTCGTTGTGATCCTGCCACAGACATAGTAGGTCTGTGGCCATCAATTTTTCATGTTAAACCTCAACGGACCTATTATGTCCATTATGGGAGCGAAAATACTATTCCCTTCACTGATAGGCTGGAAAGTGCTTTTCATATATATAAAGTCAGCCAACCTATTGAATAATATAGGTCTCATGACTCATTTCAAATTGAGGACACCCAACAAAAGCTCCTATGCCATCTTTTTTATATTAAGAAAAAGTATATAAAGAGATTATTTTACTTTTAATACAAGGATATCACAATCAAGTTTGTCTGTCAGATTTTCAATCGGTTGGTTGTAAGTGTGTCATTGATTAAACTCAAACTTTGTGACATGCCCTAAGCCATCCAATTTAACATCTAATAGCTAGGAGTGATTGTGACCTATTTATAACAATGATAAATGATCTCCTCACATAGAATCACATATAGTAATTTTCTTTTCAATATTAATTTTGTTTTTTCTATAGATCATTTAAAACCAAATTTTTGAGGAGACGTGCACCAAACTAAGGCCCACGAAACAAAAAGAATCATATGCAAAAGAATAATGACAAAAGTCCCCCCACCCATGTTTATGAATGTTGGCTGCCTAAAATGGGCAATATCGCCGTTCCGTGGAAATTTGTGGATATCATGGCTGAAATTCTCTACAAGCTCAGGAGGAGGTCATTGACCTTGACTCATGCTGCTTTCCACTTGTGTCTTGCCCTTTCCCATCCCTCCCCTTCCCTCTTATTTATGTTCCTTTTCTTTCTTCTATTCTCTCTGATCTTTCTTCTCTCCCTTTCTTTCGGTTTTTTTTTCTCTTTTCTATTGTGTAGCAGAGCATTTTCCGCCTCATTGTAACTTCATAATATCTAATACAATTTCTTAGTTAAACTTGTCAAAAAAAGAAAAGAAAAAGATGATAGAATAAAATTTGAATAAGTTATTACTCTTGAAAATACAAAAGTTAAAAAAAGAAAAAAGAAAAAAAAAAGCAGTGCTATGATAAATAGGGAGCTAAATAGAGACATATGAGTGCTATATATATATATATATAAATATATATATATATATATAATGAAACCATTTACCTTTGATATAAGGTGAGTACAATTAATCTTGATCATTGGAAATGAAATCGGGTGGTTATATTTACTTCATTGAACAAGCACGAAGTTTAAAAGAATTTTTCTTGATATTTGTGATACACCTAAACTATCAAATTTCACATCAGATGGTTATAACTAAATGTGACCTCTTTGTACAAAAAGTAAATAGTTTCTAAAAATAAATTCTAAATGAAAGTTGAATAAAATGTTTACGTGCCTGCACCAAATTACAAATTTCTAGTGTAAAAAGAATTCCTACAGTGGTCTATGCAACAGCCCTCTAATATTCCCATTTTCTCCAATAGAAATATATAAAAGGAAAAACTTCGTATGAACGAGTTTGTCCTTTAATACAGCATACACACATGCACAAAAAATTGTCCGAGGGCTCCTACTCTTAACTACAGATCTAGATCGTTTTCATATGTGACTGCACCATCTACAAACTTAACAACTTTATATCATGTTAAACGCTTATATAAGGTTACAACCTTATAAGGTGTATCTCAAAAATCCTCCAGAAGAGAGTACTTCGATATTGGAGAATGGTAATGAATAAAAAACAAAAGAATCAAGTCCCCTTCTCTTTAGCAGGAGAAGGGCAAAAGCGGATCACGCACAAGCTGAAAAGGAAGTAAGAAATAACAAGAGGAAAAAAAAACAACAAATTCAGTAACCCCATCCGAAACTGAAGCAAGAGGCAGGACAAATTTCCCTAAGAACGAATACAAAAATGAATCAATCTCCACCATCATCCGTTCACTGACATGAAGATGATCCATAGCTCGTGCTTGAGATGATCCATAACTGTTGCTTTATACACAACGGTGGAAATCTGAGAGAGCAACACAGAGTGGAACCTCCAATGCCTAGGGAAAGCCAAGCCACAAATGGAGATTGGGGCTCTATACTTTTTGGTGCAGCATAAGGTATCATATGTCTCCCAAGTAAGTTGCAAACAAATCCTAAAAACCGTGAAAAATGGAAAATAGTGGTTTAAGGGAGAGCCAGAAACACGTGAATGATCATTACGGAGCACAATCATGAAGGAGGAGGAATCTGTCAGGGGTGGTAATGGGGCTGGGCCTGCCGTGGCCCTAACCTAGCTTTGGTCTCTAAAGGGCCGCAGCTGAGCAGGGCCTGCTTTGGCCCTTGCCCGGGCCACGTTTCTAATGGGTTGGCCTTGACCAGGCCAAAGAGGCCTTGGCCCAAGCTCCATGTAGGCTGGGCTATAAAAAACAAGAATAGATCAAGAAAAAAGAAAAAAGAGGGTGGGGCCTGGCCATCCCTGCCATGGCCCAGGCTAGACAGGCCCTCAAGGCCTAGTGGCCCAATCCTCGGGCCACATTTTGTGGCCTAGGCCTTAGTTTTTTTGGACGGGGCTGGGCCGGGCCAGGCCACTGGCCCATTACCACCTTTAAAATATTTATTCACTACATCTCACAAGAAAAGTCAAAATCTCATAAGTAGGAAGAAAAAGAAGAAGAAGAAAGGGCAATAAAAAAGTTGTCTACACACGAAATCAGTAACTTCAATACCCCTTTGTCGAAGGATTGTAATTTTGGACAGCGTGAGAGATGCCCTAGAAATTGCTGGCCAAATACCAAGAAGTCCGAAAATCTTGTAAGCAGTTCACACATCCCTTTGAAAACAAAGAATAAATGTTGGACAGCCAAAGAAAATGAGAAGCAACCACAAAGACAAAACAAAGACAATGAAAGAACTGACATAATGGAAATGAGAGACAGAGAGAGAGAGAGATCACATAATGGAATTTTTTAAGAGTAGAGCGAATGGAAAGCTTATTAAGAGTAGAGCGAATGGAAAGAATGGTTCTGAAATTTTCTGGTGATGGAGACCAGTAACCATTGTTTTCAAGAAATAGAAGCCTCTATTGAGGAAAGAGCCAAAAAAAAACATCGCACTTGCATTATGAATAATAGATACACAGAGAAGCAATTATAGGAAGAAAAAAAACGGGCATCACAGATGTAAATACAAACATACCTGAAGTGAACAGAGAAATTTTTTTTATATAAAGACTATTGCTTTCGAGGGCTCTCCTCATTTCCCTTTGCTTTCCCTCTTATCATATCACTGAAATTTCCCCTCATAATCCTTCTAAATCTTGTATCCTCTGCTGGAGACTGAGTGGAAGCAAGGGGATCAGGCAGCTCACCATTCTCTCTCTGCCCTTCAAGACCGCTCTCGCCTGTCTCTCTCTTCCCCAACAGGCCACTCTCCGTTGTTTCTCTCCTTCCCAATAGGCCACTCTCTCCAAACAAGCTGCTCACTGATGTGATACCAAGGTGAGCACCCATGACCTTACTAATGGTATCTAATGTTCCCCCAGACCTTTCTTTGAGTATATTCTCAAGTGCTTCTTTGTGTGCAGGGTCGAGCGCATCTGGGTCCTTCAACAAGTTCTGAATGGCTGGTAAGAGGTACTCTTTCACACTGGTTGCTGGGAGGTCTGCAAAATGGCATACCAATTGTCATTCTAAGTTAGGCCACATGTTGGGGAGAGAGAGAGAGAGAGAGAGAGAGAGAGGGGTATGACGTACGTTAAGGTAAGGAAAGAACTGTGAGGAACGGTACTTACAAGTGTCGCCGCTAGTGTACTTCGTGGTAGGTAGTAAGAAAGTCGACAAACGAAGTAAGTAACGAACTAACGTAACGAAGTACGTAACTT